AAAGAACCTGGGGATCCTGACCTAAAGGAGATCAATGATATGCTAAAGTGTCTTGTGGAACAATATGATGAGAAATCGCTGCAGATACAAAGGCAAGAGGCAACTATGCGTAACTTGGAGGCTAAAATAAGTCAACTAGTTGAACCTTGTAAAGCTGACATTATGGATAGTAGCCAAGAAGAGCGTGAATTAGCAGAAATTGACATTTTAATGGAGGAGTTAGAGTAGAATATGACCAAATCAACCAATTATAATTTGAGGGTGCCGATGTTGAAGACATGATACTAGAGATAACCAAGGACATTGATGATATAAATTTAGTTGACTCTAATGTGATCTGTGTTGAGGATGTTGAAAATCTTGACGTTCATGTATTTGAGCACATTTGACCTCATTCCAAACACTTCTCTACCTTGTGTTCTGATGTGAAATGGGAATGGATCCTTACGAGCATACAAAGGAGTCAACAGAAGAGGTAGATGAGCCTTATATTCAGAAATTTTCGAAGGCGTATAGGCAAGATGACACTCCTCAGCTTGAAGCCAAAAAGTGCATAAAGAATCATTTAATTTTTAGCTTACAAGAATTTATACCACCCCAAGAGCATAATCATAATCTTGAGTCAAAACTTAAGGTTCAGTTCATAAGCTCAAGGTGGAAGCAAAAAGTAGTTTACGTCGTACTACGATGTTAAATCAAGCGCTTGTTGGGAGGCAACCCAACTTTACTGCTTTTTTTATTATTATTTATTATTGTAGTGTTGTTTTTTATTTCTCGAGGAGCATGGGAAGTACGACTATTGGAAGAAAGCAAAAGTAAGTGAGATGGTTAGAACTAAGTGTAGGGTGCCAGCACAAAGAACCAAGTATGAGAGAAATCTGAGTACCCCATGAACTGCTAATGCTTAAGATTTTGGCCTACCAGGAAGTTTCTTTTACCCTCTTGTATTTATGGGTACGTGGTCACGCCTAACTATGCCATATAAAAAAGACTAAGTGGTCGTTGCAAATATATTCCGGTTAACAAGTCTGGAGTCGAATCCCACATGGAATTAACCTATTAAGCATAACTACTAGACTCACACAAATTCACGCAATCAATCTTCAGAAATATTTAATAACAAATTGGATTTTACTACTAAGGATCTAGTTATGAAAATGAAGTAACTAATAACTAACTACGAACAGGTTGTAGACAAGATTTGGAATGATCTAAGGTTATGATTTCCCCTATTTTCGGAATCATTTCCGCTACATTTTCTATAAATTTGCCTAAGGTTTCTCTACCGATCATGAGCTCTCTGAGTATAGTAATTCTCTCCCTAGTAACTACCATAATTTACTAGACATATTCTTCTGAATTATGCTAGCTGGCACTAAGTATGGCGCACTCGGATCGTACCAAGGTTTCGTTATTCCTAATCCCACCTTTAAACCCTCCGTATTGATCGCTCATATACGTTAGGAGTAATGTTGTTCAACAACTACCTAAATATGTATTCTCTTCCAAGTAATACATATTAAATATGCATAGCCGATTGAGAGCTCTTCAACCAACCATAATATAAACGTAGTTGAAAAATAGAGAAAAAGCTACGGCAAATCTATATTAACGTAACAAGAAAATCATCCTCCAATAGGCTCCATCAAAACCCTAGATTAGAAGTTTAGCTACTCATACTCATAGTAACAAAATCCAAGTATTTTTCATAAATAAATTACAAAGTAAAGATGAAGGAATGTGGAAATCGATGATTCTATCTCCCAACGGGTGTTCCACTGTCTATTCTTGCCTCCGGTCGCCAAACTCCTTCAAAAGTGGTATTTAATGTATATTTATATGTGTATGAAAAGACCTAAATGACATATCCCAAGTCCTAGTCAAACAAGGAGACGAAATAAGCCTTCAAAATCCGGATCATACTCGCCTCAGACCATGCCTCGTGAGATAAAACGTGAGATGAACCTCGCCCCAGACCATGCGATGCCTACTTCCACACGAGCTCAACCTCGCCTTATCCCTCGCGTCTCCTACTCCCATGCAAGCTCAATAGCTCGCCTCGCCAGCTCTAACACGAGCTCAGCAGTTCACTTCGCTAGCTTTCTCATTTTTTCGCTGCTCACTTCTTTCTTTCTTCTTTTCAACTGTTTTCGAGCACGCTTTAGACTTTAAGTATTCTGTTTGCTCTACTTTCATCTCCACTGTACCTACACATAAAATAGACTCCATTATGCGCAAATAAAGTGTAGTTTAACATTAACTCACATAAAATATAATGTAATAAATAATGTACTAAAATATAGAATTATAGCCACACATCATTATGCATTGGGGACAAATGCACAATTTTAAGTGTGGGATGAAGATACTGTTTGTGTGATTTTCTATTCTCTTTTTGTTATGTTATTTGATGTGTGTTGAAAAATCAAATTAATCTGATAGAGGTCAATGACATTACCTTTCCATCATGAATCATGTGCCCTCACACAACAAAAGAGATTAGTTCCACACACAATAAATTTTAAGACCGTAGGATCTCAAAATAGGAAGAATTCACTCGCTCTCAAAAATAACATTCATATGCCACAAATGATGCACCATAGGTTTGCCCGTGGTGTAATACTCTACTAATCGAGCTCATTCCATCTAGTATCAAGTAGAACTTTAATTGGTTGTAATGTAGGCTGCAGGTCGAGTAGGATACATTTGGATATGACTGACTACACCTCCCTTAAGCACTTTAATACATATACTTCAACACTCAAGCCCATACTTATGTCAAACCAAAATTCCACCTTCATATCAATGTATATTACCCCATACTTCTTTAAGCACAAGTATATCATTAGCCACCATCATCAAGAATTATTATTCATATAATACAAATATATATATATATATATATATATATATATATACATTCTTCAATACAAGTGGCTTTATTGATATATTTTTATATTTTTTTTCAAAACGGTGCACCTTTCTCCTTAATTCATTTGTTCCACTCAAAATTCAAACCACCACCCCACACTTTAACTTTTACACAATTCATGATAATTCAAGTGCTCATGAGAGGTGACAAGGTTCAAATATATGGTCAATTCAAACAAAAGGGTAAGGCTTGTAATGTAGTTACCAAAGAAATCAGATTATAGGCTCAAAGGGGTTAACTACGTTATATGACATTTAGGGGGGGTACACTATATATATCTGGCTCAACAAAGAAATGACTATATCACTTCCCAGACTGAACAAGACAACTATTTTGCTTTGCACACACACGAGGCAAGTTCTAGATATCAAATGCTATGCAAAGAATAACAGACAAACCTTACATACAGGCACATAACTCACTCAGGATTTGTTTCATCAAGAGACTCTAGTCAAAGCAGTTAAGCAAATTTAAGATTATACAAGATTCAAAAATTGAGCCTAAGAGTCACAACCAAAGTACTCACTATCTCAAGGCATAACAAAGTCAAGAGATATCGCTGCAATTCAATTCATAGCATAGTGGTTTCTACTCCTAAAAATTAAAACTAACTACACCGGGTTCAACTAAAATCCTTTGAAAAGAACCACGACATAAAGAAAAATATAGGGGGAATTACTGCACTACCTACAAGAAAATCTTTTTGGTTTTTTTTTCTTTATAACTAATTCTCTCAAGAAAACTGTCTAGGAGATGCATCATCGGGAAGAGTCCAATTTCTCTACTCTCTTTTTTTTCTTTTTCTAAAAGGCTAAGATGACACTAAATTTTTTTTCTAAAAGGCTAAGACGACACTAACTAAAAAATAATAACTAAAGAAAAACTAATATTTACAATTTACCACCCCACATTTACTTCATGCAATGTCCTCAGTGCATAAACAAATTGACAAAACAAGAAAAAACATGAGTAGGGTGGATGAAAAACTCCCTTATCAAACTGCATCATCGCCTTCCTCCTCTGAGGCTGCCCACTCCTCATCTTGTGTTTCCTCCTCCTCATCATCACCATCTTCATCATCTGACTGCTCTGCCTCAGACTTCTCGTGTATGTTAACATCCTCATATTCTGGGAGTCTGTATCCATCACCTAGCCCAACCCGCTGTTGAACATGAGCATTGAGCGGGAACCGCTCCTCCAATATGGCCCTCTCCTCCGTAGTGGCCGGTCGTCCCCCAATTCGAAGCTGCAAGTTCATCATCCCATATAAATGGGCCATAAAGCTGTTATCACTCGCATTGCGCTCAACCCCTGTCAGTGAAGTTGTGGTATTCTCCTCCTTAACCCGGACATTTGTGAGGTTCGTCAGTCTTATGGATGGAGCAATGATGTGATCGAACTCTTTCTCCTCCTCCACCTCCTCTTGTCGTAAATACTGAGTCAACATGTTTGCAAAGGGCATTCGATCAATTTTCTTGCTAGTTCGCACTTTGGGTCATCTGGTAACGAATAAAGTGGCCCATATTCACCCTTTGGACCATCAATAAGAAATATAACACGTAGGCCCTTTCACGGCTAATAAGAGTGTCACGGTTTCATGGTAGGATTCGTGTATTAATCAATTTCAACCGTACTTGCGATTCTGCCTTCATACTCTTCTTTGGGAATTTCCTATGGCGATTGGTTTTCTTATCCCGCACCCAAGCCGCCACAGAGTTGACACCACAAAGAGTGTGTCTCAGCTCTCGATAAGTAAGACGGATGATGAAATTGTCCAAGGGTTCCTGGAGAACATTCGGCGTAACTAATAAATTGCATATCGCCGAGGCTAAAAAATCGATCAACCTTCTCCGAATAGGCACTAGCTGCTCAGAATCCTCTGGATCAAAACCGGCATAAAACTCATTCACAAGATTGACATTGATATCTCTGGAGTTTCTGAACACATAGCTCAACCCCATATCATGAATACCTATCCAGATTGCTTGGTACTTGGCTTCTAGACGATGCTCATGAACAACATATTATGGATGTATATGTCTCGACCTACAACACTTACACCAGTCCTTCACATGTGGGGGTATGATCTTGATTCCAAATTCCTATTGTCCCTGAGGTTGTGGACGGGTGGCTGCAATAGCTGCACTACTCGCAGTCCTTCACCTTGACTGGAAGTAGCTTCCCCCTTTCTCTTCTTCGGTGAGGGTGCAGATGGAGCCTTAGCCTTAGATGGAGCAGTAAATGTGACCTTTCCTTTATCGATGTCCTTTCTTGGAGGCATATTCGTACCTACACAAGTGAGCATTAATCAATTTAAGATGCATTGCAACATTTCAAAACATAGTCTTGCCACCCCACACGTAAGAGTTCAACATATGATTTTCAACAATTTCCGAGGTTACTCAGACTTCACCTCATCTTTTCTTAGCATGAGAATCAAGCAATGACACCTGGGTGCTTCCTCCAATTTCAAAGCATTGGGCTATTGGTGAGCCACTCCATACTTAAGATTTTAAAGTGGTGCACGACTACATAGCACTAGTCTAATAATCCCAGAGACTCGGGCTCCAATGTGGATAGAGAATGCCTTTGAGGCATTATGACAAACACTTAGCATGAACTAGTGCTTGTAGGGATGAGGGATTGCCTCACCCTCCCAAATAGGTGTGGGAGTTCCGTTCTACCACTTGTTCACACAATAACAACACCATTCCAATGGGGTTCATGGGGTTGGGCCACACAAACATATTGTTACAAAGAAAAACAACCCCGAAATTTGTATCCAATGACATGCATTCACCCAACTCAAAATTTCCAAAGAATGGAGGGAGAAATCATACCTTATATGTTTAAGAGGAGGGATTGCCCTTGAACTACTGTTGTAGATGAAATAAAGAGCAGAAGAAAGCTTGTAACGACCCGAGTGGTCGTTTTGAGCTCTGGCATGTTGTTTGACAATTTGAGTCTGTGAGTAGCTTCACTTCAGGTATTATGACTTGTACGCGTGGTCGGAATTGAAATTTGGAAAGTTCGGAGTCGATTTGGAAAGAGAATTCTCATTTTGAAAGCTTTAAGTTGGAAGAATTGACTAAGGTTGGAATTTTAAGTAAACGACTTCGGAATCAGGATTTGAAGGTTCCAACGGGTTTGTATGATGATTTTGGACTTGGGTGTATGTCCGGATGGGGTTTTAGATGACCCGATAGCGTTTTGGTGCCTATCATGGAAGTTAGCATTTTTGGAAAAAATTCATAAATTTGGGTTGAGGTGTATTTCAATGTTATCGATGTCCGTTTGGGATTTTGAGTCTAGGAATAGCTCCTTATGGTGATTCTGGTATTAGGAGCACGTCCGGAAGTGGATTTGGAGGTCCGCATGTCATTTTGGGGTCATTTGGCGAACGTTATAAATTTGAAGGTTTTTGAGAAGTTTGATCGGGAGTGGACATTTTGATATCGGGGTCGAATTTCAATTCTGGAAGTTGGAGTAGGTCCATAATGTCGAATGTGACTTGTGTGTGAAATTTGATGTCAATCGGACGCGATTTGACAGGTTTCGGCATCGAATGTAGAAATTGGAATTTCTTAGTTTCATTAGACTCGAATTGGGGTGAGATTCGTATTTTTAGCGTTGTTTGATGTGATTTGAGGCCTCGACTAAGTCCTCGTTATGTTTTGAGACTTGTTGGTATGTTTGGTGGGATCCCGAGAGGTCGGGTGAGTTTCGGGGTGGTTTCGGACAAGTTTTAGGCCATTTTAGCTACTGGTTTTTGGATACAGTAGTGTGCTACGTGATCGCGGAGAATTGGCCGTGATCGCGATGAGTAAAATGGGAGAAATTGGCCCGTGAATCGCAACCACGGAAGGCCTTTCACGATCGCGTAGAGGAAAGTTTCTGTTGCACTAACCGACTTTGGAAGCTTGTATCTTGCAATCTATAAGGAATTTTGAGATGATCTAAAAATAAAAGTTTTAGCCCTTTGTGTATAGTTTTTATACAATCAAACCATTTATCATTTAGAATTGTGTACAAAAAGTTATGGCTGGTACACTACAGGCTGTCCGGGAAGATAAGAAGAAATTTGTGTTATTAAGGTCTAATTTTGGGAGCTTATATCTCATAATTTATAAAGAACTGGGAGATGAGCAAAGCATCAAAATTGTAGTTCTTCAGTCTAATTTTTAGAAAGTTAAACTATTTTCAATTTGGAGTTTTGTACAAAACGTTATGACCATTATACTAGAGGCTGTCTGGAAGAGCTGGGCATTTGTTCTTCGCGATCGCGAAGCTTGTTCCGTGATCGCTAAGGGTAAATTTTGGGATGAGATATGTTATATTTCACGATTGCGAAGCATTTTCCGCGATCATGAAGAGTAAATACCTGTGCAGAAGCTATATTTTGAGATTTCGGCCATTTTTAACATATTTAGAGCAGTGAAGCTCGGATTGAAGCGATTTTTAGGTGATTTTCACCATATGGATTGAGGTAAGTGTTATATATCCGAAAGTAATTATACTTCATGATTTTATGATTATATTCATTATTTATTTCGGATTTAAATGGAAAAATTCAAAATTTTTGCAAAACTTTTCAAGAATGAAAATTTAAGATTTGGAGGTCAAGTTGTTATCGAAATTTGATAAAATTGGTATGGTTGAACTCGTATCGAAATGGGTTGTCGGATTTTGTGAGTTTCATCGGGTTTCAAGACATGATCCCCACTTCCAACTTTTCGAGTGGAGTTGGAAATTTGTTTAAATCGAATTGTTGTGAGTATTAGAGTATATTTTTATGACTTTTGCCTATTTATTGACTAGTTTTGGAGCATTGGGCATCAGTTTGAATTGTTGGTAAGGCTTGGGATTCGGCTATGGAACTTCGGAGCGAGATAAGTCTCCTTTCTAACCTTGTAAAAGGGAATTAACCCTATAGGTGAGATAATTAAATATGTGCTCCTATCTGTGGGGGCTACGTACGCACGAGGTGACAAGAGTCCGTACGTAGCTACTATTGTGCTTAAGTCCGGGTAGTCTAGGACCCAAAAACAAGTTTTACTTGTAATATTTGTATCTGTATTATTAATTTAAATTGCTTAAATCTCATCGAGCTTGGTAAATAAATTTTTAAAGGGTTAAACATCACTTTCTTGACTATTAAAAGAGAAGTTGCCATTTCTTTGGGTAATTGTTTCCTTGATGAATTCTTTATTGACTATTTTAATGTGTATATCTATGTGTAACTGCGTCGCAAGTATGATTCGCAAGCAGGGTAATTCTTTTATTTATATTTGACCGCGTCACATGTATGATTTGCGAGCGGAGTAATAGATGCATCTATGGTTCGCACCATTCGACCATCTGGCAATGCACAGTTTAAATATTTATTGGATCGGGACATACGACCTCGACATGATTTGCGCATGACTTGATTGATTATTTTGAAATTATTGATAATTGATGTGGCTTCATTGGTCGGAGATGTAAATTGTTAAAAGATGAAGCACTTGTTATCAATTGGGAACTGAGGTAATATAATGGTACTAAAAATGTGGTGCGGGATGTTCTCCTTGCATAGTTGATTAGGCTATTGTCGTCGCCTTGTAGAAGGATATTCTGTCATTTCAGCTTTGTAGTTGCACTTCTGAGAGCTTTGAGGCTATGCACAAGTTGCTATGATGCTCATGATTGGTTGTCGTACAGTATTGATGTGATGGTGGGATGCATGCCCATGTGTCGGGGCAGTAAATGACTTGAAAGGAGGTCTACTCAGTGCATGGTTCAGAGATTCAATTTCTTATTTTCGGCGGAGGAAAAGCAATCGGACTATAAATGTTCTATTTTGGGTGATAGAGTAACGAGGCTTGGTGTTTTCGAGTGTGGTGGAATTTTCATTTGCAATGTGGTATCGTCTCCCTCGATTGAATGTGTTAAGTTTTCCGGTGTTATGGTCTTCTTCAATTCACCGTTGGGGCAGGGTATTGTGAAATAGATTCGGGGAGGCGGTGGTCGAAGATTGTGGTGTGCGGTGATTCGGGATTTAGTAAGTGTTTCTGGTGTCGATGTCTTGAGAAAGATGTTCTTCGGAAAGGTTTAAAGTTAGCAGTGATCTATTGGTTCAAGTGCTACCGAGATAGATTTTTATTAAAGCAACATCTGGGCAGCAAAGGATGAGGAAGGAAATGTAGGGAGTGTCATGTGGTGGTTAAATTTCTAGAAGGCCGGGTGTAGGAAGCGAAAGTCGAGTAGTTGCTTAACAAAGAGGGTTTGGCCAAAGTGGGAGAGTGGCAAATTAACATATGAGTTCTGTGGTATGATGGTCACACGCCTTGAGGAAAGTCTGGAGCCATTTGGGAAATTCATGGTGGACAATGACTAGGTCCACGGATTTTTATTTAGGTGCAACATGACTTCGAGTTTGGAATGCGTTTTTGGACTTTTAGTTGATGCCAATAGGGAAGAAGGAACCTCGATGGGTATCAAGGTTATGTAATTATAGCTTCAAGCTAAGTGGGAGAGCCCCACCATCTATGATTTGACTGCATGGTTGTCTACTTGTGCGACTTTCGATTATCGGTGTATTGGTAGGTTATTAAGATTAAGGAGAGAGAAAAAAACATTAGTGGTAATTTGAGCAAAGGATTTGAGGAATATGTGCTATCTTTGGCCTTATCGGTTCATGTTCAAGTTTTGGGAAGACTCAGGGTCTACGCTTCGTGTGGATGTGATGTATAAGGAAATGATTTCAGCCGGTTGCTTCTTGGAGAGGGTGTTCATGTGCTATCAGGGCCTTGGAGTGTGACTATATTTGGGAACAAGTCAGAGTGGGTGACTCTCACAATGGCCTTAGTAGGTTCAAAATTAAAGTTTGGGGCCTAAGGATTTCCTGTCCGTGGTATGGTTAAGTATCGAGCTTTTGCAACGGATTATGAAAAGGGCTTGGAATGTTCTATGTTATCTTCAGTCAATGGTATAGCATTGGAGGAATGGAAGAAAATAACTTCAAAACTCATAGAGGAATTATCAGAATGGGTGTACCGGTTAAAGATGCAAATGTGCGCATAAAGAGGGTATGAGATGTTTCGTGTGTTTTGAGACAATGTGGTCTCATGAAATGGCATCACTCAGGATGAGTGCGGATTGAGTTTGTTATATTTTGAATGGAGCCATTGTTATTTCTAAGGAAATTTCAGAGTAAATTAGAAGAAGTTGGTTAGGTTAGCAATGGTTGAATCGGCATGATAGTGGCAATGATCAGTTCCTTCAGCATATTAAGTTATGCATGTGATTTG